TGAAAAAGGGGAAGTTTTTGAAGTGTGTAAAAGATTTTAATTCCTTGCTGAGCGCTTTCGTCTTATAAAGCCATCTTGAAAATATGGTTATATATAAAGTATCCCTCTAGGAAAGATCATGTGGAAAGCAAAAAATTGCTAGTTCTATTTTGATTTTCTTTTTTTAACAATAAATAAAATGAAACAAAACACAAGGCACTATACACTTTGACTCCACAAAAAATAGATTAAAAAACTTTTGATCATGTTACTGGTGTCAGAACTCGACCATTTGTACTGAAGTCGAAGCAGATACCTCTAAAAAATAAAAATAAATCAACGCTACCAAGTCCAAAAGTCAAATGGAGCGTTAGTACAACCTGAATCCAAATTTTCATGCAATTCAGCGGTGACATAGAAACTTACAGGGTATCGGCGTATTTCACGTTCATTTATTGGCCTAGCCTAAGCAATAATGACTTTTTAAACGTAGCGTAGGTTTAGTGTCAAAACATGGGGTCTAAATCCCAAAATGATCTATTGGTCATATATATAATATATATATATATTATATATATATATATAATATATCTATATATTTATATATATATATATATATATCACTAGTTGTCACCCCCGTAGTTGTGTCTCTGATTTGGTGAAACAAAACAGCGTATTAAAATGCAATAATGGAGTTGCATAAAGTGCAAAGACTCGATTGTGTATCAATTAAGAGTGCAATTTGTTCGTGCTCCACTGCAGATTAAGAATTAATGTCGACGTTCCTCTTCTGCACATATATCTAAAGAATATTTTAAAAGAGTGTTTAGGCTAACACGAACCCAGGATCTTAAACCCGGTTACTTGGGTTTAAAAACTCAAAAAAAAGTAGAACTACGGGTTACTGGTCTTAACACAACACCAGACTGTCAATAGTCCTCGAAATAATGCTAAAATATTTTAGCAGACTACTAGCATTTGATTTCCCAAAAGTTAAGCTACACTAAGGTAATGAAGTCTACTTATAAATCGATAACAGCTTAGAATTGAAAATGGTCCCTTAAACAACTAGCAGGTCGTAGCAGAGTAACTTTGCTGTGAGTGTCAGGACATAAAAGAATTGTTGGTAATAAGATTGCTGATAGCCTTCGTCAAGAATGGGCAAATGTTCTTTTTATTAGACCAGATCTAAATCCTGAATACTAGGGGTTATCCAAAAATAGGAAAACAAACTTTTGTAGGCTACTCGGACAATATTTAACGACAAACGCAAGTAAAAACGTAACCATAATCTTCTCGTTCCACAAAAATACTGTTGGGGCTTTTAAATACCAAACCCAGAGTAATAACGGATATCGTTTTTGTATAATAAACCAAAGGGACAAAGCAACATGTAAATTCTGCGAAAATGCAGAGAAAATAGCCGAACATATATTATTTGCAACTGCAGTGCAATTATTCGCCAACGCCATAAGTACCTATATAGGTTATTTAGAGTCTGAACAGGTAAAAGATAGCACGCCTAAGCGAAAAGTAGGCTTGCTTAGAAGCCTGGATCCCTTGGGTTAATTAAAGACGTAGGGTATATAGGGTAAACATACCATTTATTGGGCACTGCCAGTTATTGGAATTATTTTAACTGAAAACAAGAATTCTGTATTCAGTACTGAGCTAAGTTTTGTTCAGATGTCGCCTTGTACTATTAGGATCCATATTGACGTAAATAACATTTGATTGACGTTTCTGTTTTGCCGCCAAATGAAAAGTTTTTATTTATGCACCAAAAATACGGTTTTCTTAACCCTATGTTAAGAAACCTTAGGTGAATTTTAGTGTTATAATTAGTGGTGAATTTGTATCACACTGCTCCTCATAAATATACAAGTTAGCGGTAAGTGAAAGTAAGTATATTTAAGGTTTCATTAATATATTTAAGTCTGAGTTATGTATTAGATGGGTGTCAAATAACTACAACTAATATATGAGTATTTTCAGTCATTGGACATTTGGAAATTCTTTCGGTAAGAAAAGAATCTGATCTTGAAAAATAAAGTTAATTTAGTTAGGTAAGATGTTTAACTGTTAAATGACATTTTATTTTTGCAGCTGGATAGAAGATCTGGCAACAAAAGGATTCCCTAGGAAACAAGAGAAAATTTTAAATAGGGTTCAAACATTTTTACTGAAAATTCACGGCCTAATATCTATAAAAACAACAGACCTGTTGATAGTTGGTTAAAGGTAATAGATAATAAAGGATATTTGTAAAATAGAGGTGACTAAAATAGCACTTTATATTTTAGGCTTTTCTAAAAAGACATCCAACAACTGTGCAGCGAACAAGTGAAGCAGTAAGTGGTGCAAGCGCTTGTGTTTCGGAAGCAGACATTCGAAAATGGTTCAAAGATATAAACGGTTTTCTTGTTTCCAAAAATTTAATCATTAATGACTCTTCAAGAATTTACAATGGCGACGAATCTGGTTTTCAGATTTGCCCAGAAACTGGAAAAGTTTTTACTAGAAAATATCATCTAAGGAAAGCATCAATGTCATGTTTTCGTTTTCTGCATCCGGAATAATTTGTCCACCTATGATCATTTATCCTTATAAATAAGCGAATTCCAGAAAAAATAAGCCAAACTGTCAGAGATCCTGATTGGGGCATTGGAAGATCTGATAATGATGACATTAGGATCATCATTGGAGGACGGCACAAACGTTTTATGATTATGTGAAAAATGTATTTCATCCATTCTTGCTAAAAAATAATATACAGTTCCCTGTGTTATTATATTTAGATGGACATAAGTCTCATTTAACTTATGAGCTAAGTAGACTTTGCAATGAACTGAACATTGAAGTTATAACCTTATATCCGAATGCAACCCGAATTCTTCAACCTTGTGATGTTGCGGTATTCAGGCCCGTAAAAGTGGGATGGAAAAAGGCCATCAGAGAATTTTACGAACAAAATCCTGGAGAAGTTTAAAGTTTAAATAAAATGACATTTGTTCCACTATTGGAAAAAGTAGTGGTAAATAATATTAAGAGGGACACTTTAATTAATGGATTTCGTATGTGTGGTTTATTCCCTTTCAATCCAGATGCAGTTGATTACACCAAATGTTTGGGAAATAAAAAATAACGTCCTCAGGTAATATTATAACAACTTTTTTATTTACCTATTAGCTAATATCACATTTTTAGGTAAAAAAGCTACTCCCTCGCATGGACGATACAACATTCGTCAGTTTGGCTGGAGAAGATTTAATCAAAAGATTTCAATCTTTTGATGATGTTTTGGTTAAGAAAGGATTACTGAAGAATTTTTGACTTTATACAAAATATGGAATTATTTTGAAAAACCAGATTCGTGGCCAGATAATAAAAAAGTTGACTTGGACAAGAGAACTGTGCCAGGATCATTCAATAATCAGGTATCGAACTCGACTGAGACTGAACCTGGGCAAGATGAGATCCACCTAATCTTGCACTTGTGCAACCTTCAGGTGCACCAGAAATTAAAATAAATTTGGATTCTGAATTAAATACATCTGAAAACCAAGTTTCAAAAGACCAAAAAATTAATATAACACAAAATAATGTCATAAAACCTGGTAAAGACATTGTCTATAGTTTGCTATTTACTAATAACAGTATAGGTGACTACTTAATAGTTCCAGAAAAATCAACAAGAAAGAGTAAACAAGAGGAGTAAAGTTTCATTTGCTATAACATTAAGAGAGTATCAAGAGAGTTTTGAAATGAAACGTGTCTTAAAATTAGAATTAGAAAATAAGAAATTGGAGAGAAAACGAAAAAAAGAGAGTGCAGCAGCAAAAGCTTTAAAAAATACTGCCCGAGATACCGACAAAAATAATTCATGTTTTCTGTGCAAGGTTCGAACAGTAAAAAATAATTACCTAACATGTAATAGCTGCAAGAAAAGAATTCATCGACGATGTGTTCCGAAAAAATATAACGTTCATGTTCCTGAAAAAGATGATGAGGATTTATTCATGAATCATCAGTGTTACACCGAGGAAAGCGATGATGGGGGTATTTCAGAAATAGAAAGTGAAGAAGACGGCTAAATGTATAATGAAAAAGAACTTGACAATAGAATGTGTAAAATATTAAAAAAAATAGTAAGCGAAGAGAATATCGAAACAGATTATCAAACAGAATCCAACTTCAAAATACGCGAGGAGCCGAAAAAAAATAGAAAGCAATAATTATTACTCCGATCAAGAACCAAAAGAATTTGGCAATAAAAAGATAATGAAATAAATGCTCAGAAAAATGACAGCAATTTGTGCGACGAACCAAAACAAATAGAAAGTAGCCAAGGTATTGAAACCAACAACAAAGTTTATAAAAACCCGAGAGAAATAGAAAATGGAGAAGGAATCGGAACAGACCATCAAACAAGAACTGAGAGCAAAATGTGTGAGAATCCAAAAATGGCAAGTGAAGAAGGTTTTGAAGATTATGGTACAAAAGTGGGCCATATGTTAGAAAATAATTCAAATGACGACATCGACGAGGACGTCGAAGAACTTTTTAATCTGTACCAAAATGAAATGAAAAAATATAAGTGATTTATAGTACCTAGGTAGATTTAATAAAAGTTTTTGAATATTGATTTCAACTTTTTATTTGTTTTTAATCATTACTTTGACAGTGCCCAATAACTGAAAATTTTGTGTCCAATAATTATTGAATTTTTCGTCCAATAACTAACTTTTTCGTAACCGTTCAGGTCTTTTTAAGTTTTCTACAAAATCTGTTATATTAGGAATATTTAAAACCCGTTAACTTAAAATATTATATATGTATACTATGAGGTGGCATAGCAGAATAATATCCGTTGAAAATTACACTAGCGACAGCGACTTGAAATTGAAAAAAAGCTTAACAGTCCAATAACTGGTATGTTTACCCTACCAAAGGTCTTACAGGACATACTGTGGAGAAATCTATAATACACAATCTTCAAATAAAACTCTTACAATTACGATTTAATATACTATATTTATTTATTTACAGTAAAGTGATTAACAAATTAATGGTGGAATACTTAAAATAAAAGCGCTACAATTTTAAGCAATTATTTTATTTAAAACTAAAATGCCTAATTTTATCCTTAACCTGATCTCTCATACACTAAACTAAGATATATTATTATATACAGTCATTGAATTTACATAAATAACATGTCTACTTAAACTATGAGGTACAATATTTTTGGTAAAAACAAAAGACAGTTATTGGTCAACATTAATAACTTAGATAAATCTACAGAGTTAGTTAATTTAAAATTTATCAACTTCGTTTTCAGACATTGCTTTATTTGTGTGACCATTTACTGTTGAAATTCCACTACCTGGGACTTTCTGCACGTCTTTGACCTGTGTGATGGTAACTTTGTCATTATTTTTAAAAAATAAATAGGCAGACGCGATGCATCCTACTACAGAGCCCACAAGTATAAGCCATTTTGAGATATTTACTATTTTCTTCATTGTGTATAGCATTTTTAGGGGTTTCGTGAACGTATTATTTAGATCAACTCCCTGAAAAATAAATAATAATTGTAATAAATTTAATATATAATACACTTATAACGAACGATTATAGACATATATAAGAAGATCTAACTACTAACTATCAATATCAACAAATTACAAAATTGTGGTTATCACTATATAATATATATTCATATATATATATATATATATATATATATATATATATATATATATATATATATATATATATATATATATATATATATATATATATATATATAAACAGATTGAACGAAATAAATTCGGAACATACGAAATATTATGTATTTCGGTTCAATTCTGCTGTAGGTGGTTGACCAACAAAAGGTTGTCAAATAATTATATTATAAAAATCCAATACTTCAGCGGGCTGCTGGATTCTGAAATCATAAAAATTGAAAGCTACACATAAATCTACGATTTTATTATGCTGTCAAACCACTTATAGTCCAGGGAATGAAGCATTTCACCTCGCAATTTTTTCGTCCTGCGTGGATTGACTTGAAATTTTAACAGAAGGTAGGTAATAGCCAAGTATCAAAATCTATATCGAACCAAAGTGCGCCAAAAGCCTTGGGGGTGGTTGCCACCCCATCTCGGGGTGAATTTTTTTTACGTTTTAACTACAGGTTTCGATTGAAAAAGTGATTCTTAACAAAAAATGTTGTGTTCATTTTTTTGTAAAACTGATATTTTTTAAGTTAATCGCGATTGAAAGTAACTACTTTTAGACGAAAAAATCGACGTTTTTAATCGATTTTTCGCGAATAACTCGAAAATGGTGCATTTTATCAAAAAAATTGTAGAGAACAAATTTGTAGCTTTTAAAAAGACAAATACAATTTATTTTTAAAATGTTTTTGCGATATAACAGGAACCGCAATACGGCCTATCAATGTTCAGCGGTTTTCTTCAAATGCCAAATTTCAAAGATTCATAGTCAAATATCGGGAAAATGATGCATTTTTGGAAGAAAACTCACACAACCTTTTTTAAAGAGTTTAAATAGACCTATCATAAAAAAAGACTCTAGCTCAAAAATTGAGTGAGTTATGATAAAAATTAGGTCAATACCTCATTTTTTTACGAAAAAATCAATGAAAACAACCCCCTAACCACACCCATAATTAAAATCGATGTTCACCCTTCTGCAATTGTACAATGGATCTTTGGCGAGATATAGCCGTTTAAAGCATCGATTTACGATCAAGCACCATCTTTTTCGAGCCCTTTAAACTCAAACCATTTAAAAACCAAGGGTTCCAAAAAGATTTAATTCACAGATCCTTGTAGCTCTTCAAAACCTCTACAAAATCGTTTTTGAAGAAACACTTTATCGTTAAAAATGAAGGAAATACGTTAAAAAAAAACCAATTATTTTTTTTTCCGGAAAATTCCATTAGTATGTAAATTCCATTAGTAAATTCCAAAACCGGTATATTAGGTAGTGGGGCGTTATACATTCGAAATTTTAAGCGTTCTTATTTTGAAATCTCATGCAACAGATTAAAACATCTGCTCATGTCTATGACTTGGCAATGAAAATATCAGAGCAACAGATTTTGGATGGTATTCCAAAGACGGTTTGTTATTACACGTACGCATGAAAAAACAAACTGCACCCGATGAACTTTTAAAAATTATTTTTTGCCAATGCAAAAAAGGATGCGGCGTTTCATGTGGGTGCAGAAAAGTTGGTTTATACTGTAACTCTACTTGTTCTGGGTGCTCGGGTGAAGGGTGCAATAATAGTCCACCAATAATTGAAAAAGATGAGGATGACATATATCACGATGAAGATGTAATTGATGACGAATAAAATTAATATTATAATTGTTTTACCTATAAATGTAAATATTTTCAACTATTTATGTAAATGTATAAGAACATATGGTGCCTTCTTGTATTTAATTCTACTTTTTTCAATTTATATCTATTAAATTAGTTTATAAAAACTGCAATGTTGTAAAGGGTGATTTTCAAAAGTTGAAAAGTTGCAAAATATGGTAAAAAATTGTTTTCATCCATAGCACTCATAAGAATTGATTTTTAAGGGTTGAAAATGTATGAAATTGTATTTTAAAATATAAAAAAATCACTATTTAACTAATCCAAACCAAATTTCACTCATCTTAAGATTTGTAATGTTATTCTACAATTTTTGAAAATTAGGGGTAGTTTTCGCCCCTAAGAACAATCAGGGTTCATTCGCATTACATAAACTATAAAGCAGAGGTGAGTGAGCTTAATTTCAAATTTTTATGCAAATCGTTTCGAGGGAAATCATTTTCTTCGCATTACTACTTTTTTTACATTAATCTCTAACAAGGGTCGCTTTTTAAGGGTTTAAATATGATGAAACTTTATTCAAAAGCACGAATCTATCATTATTTAATTAATTCAAAGCAAATTTTACCCATATTCAGGTTTAATATGTTATTTTATAATTTTTGACAATTAGGGGTAGTTTTCACCCCTAAAAATAAACAAGGTTCGTCGACATGACATAAACAATAAAGCAGTGGGTGAATTGAGCTTAAATCCAAATTTTTATCCAAATTGATCCAAGGCGAAATAATTTTTTTAGAATTAGTAATTTTTTTTACATTAATCTCTAACAAGGGTTGCTTTTTATATGTTGAAATATAATGGAACTCTATTTAAAAGTATAAAATAATCATTATTTAACTAATTCAAACCAAATCTTACCCACATTTAGGTTTAATATGTTATTTTATAATTTTTGTTAATTAGGGGTAGTTTTCACTCCAAAAACCCTTTAGCGCACTTCGGTTCGATATAGATTTTGATTCTTGGGCTATCACCTACCTTTGTTAAAATTTCAACTCAATCCATGCAGGACGAAAAAATTGCGAAGTTTTAACTTTTTGCGAGCTTCATTTCCTGAACTATTATCGCTGTCTTTACGCAAATAACATTGTTGCGAGACAGATAGTTGAACGATATTTATAAAATGTCTATACCCAGGTATGGATTTATTTTTGTCTATGTTTTATATTGGTCCACTATTTCAAATGCAGTTCAAACAGACATATATTAAATTGTATGATCCGTTTTAAAAATCGTTTCAATTCTGTATTATTATATATATATATTACTATAATGATCCCCAAATTTATAAATAAAATTAAAAATCAAAAGACCATTAAAGAAAAATCGAGAACAACCTGTATATAGAAATAGTTTAGTTGTAAAATCATAAACCATTTACCGGGACAACGTGAGTAGTTTCTGAATATGTAAATAAGTGAGCTAGAAAGTTTTTTCTCCAAAAAAGACAAGTCAATTTGATTATGACATTCATGACAGACTTCAATGTGACTTTTTCTTTGTTGAAATCTTTTAATTTCTTTAAGTTTTGAGAATTGATAAGAAGTAGTACTTAGTGTTTGTGTGGAAAATTAAGCAGCCATTGTGGTAAGCAGAGACGATTTCCAGTATAAATAGAAGCATTACTGTAAGTACAAACAGATATATTTTCCTTGTGTCTGAGAGGAAGCAGTTTGTTTGTCTTGGAGTTTGGAGCTTGTGGTAAAGACATCACGACATTTTCACATACTCTTGGTCTTCTTTCTTTTATTATCAAAAGAAACAGTAGGCGAAATAGCGAGCAGGGAAATTGGTAGGATCCGGGAAGTACATTGCGATCTGGTCAGGGCACAATCCAAGCAGAAGCAAAGGAAGATAGTCTGTTGGAAAACCAAAGTTTTGAGTTTTTAAATAAATTCTTTAACGACCATTCTTTAACATACCATTAAAAATATATTAAAATTTTTTATTAAAAATAACTATATTGTCACTATATATGTCATTGTCATGGTGTGATTAATAGACATATATGAATGAAAATACAGTTATTTTATGTGGAAAGCAAAACCAGTAACAATAGTTTTTATTATAATTTATTTAATTGTCTATAAAAAATATAAATTAATCCAGTCAGCAGTTTGGCTTAAGCACATATGAATTTTTAATGTTTGGATGTCAATAGAAAATGAGATTTTGATGGTATTTATTGATATGTTAATATGTACCAATAAATGTTACTTAATTTGTCAATATCTGATCTTCTATTTACACATTTTTTTATTTTTTTGTATATGTGTCATTTCTAAAAATAGTTTGTTTTGTAGAGTACAATATTAATAACTGTTTTCTCACGACTAGTAAGTAAGAGAATTAACAATTTTAACTAGTTAATTTATATTTCTTTTTATAGATGTCTTGAAAAAGACTTAAATAAAATTCGAAAGCTTGACAGTAAGTCAAAGAGTTTTCTTTGTCTTGTGGGCCAAATAGACTGACTGCATCCTCAAAAATCATAACTTATATATATATATTATATATATATATTATATATATATATATATATAATATATATATATATATATATATATATATATATATATATGTAACAATAAAACACTGAAAACTTTGTTTTCAAACTTCCACAAAATTTATTTTAAATCTTATCACTACTGTTTCGGCTGATTGCCTTTCTCAAGTGATCTATTTTTGGCTTGAGTTTACGAATTTGTAGTCTATAGTCTATAGTATATAGTATATATTTATAATTTATAGTCTTTAATGAAATAGGTTGAGGAGGGGAGAACTGTTTGTCTCAAGTTGGTCATTCAGAATTATATCTGTGTTTTTTAATTTGTTGATTTCCATAGATTCTAACAAAGATAGCTTAATGCCTTTATTTTGAATGTGAAGAATTTCAAATTTGTCATTAAAAGAATAATTATGATCTAGAAGGTGAAGTGCGTATGTCGAATCTGTTTTTCTATTCTTGAAAGCCCTTTTATGTTCTGCTATTCGTTTATCAAAGTTTCTACCAGTTTGACCGATGTAAGTTTTTGGGCAGTCGCCACATTGAAGTTTGTACACACCACTATTTAAGTGTTTTTTATTTTGGCTCTTGTTATTTTTAATATATTTGCCTAGGTTGTTATTTGTTCGGAAAGCTGGTGTTATTCCTT